TGATCCTTTTATCAGCACTTGGAGTTTTTTACAACTTTGATTTTTTTTTCAACTTAGTTTTTTGCAAAATTTAATTTGCATTTTATACAGATCACTTATTTTTCACTTTTCACTTAAAAATATAATTTCTCTATTTTGAAAATATCATCAAATCAAAAACTATTTTGCATCTTCAGAATTGTTATGTTTTGAAATCTGATCCGCGAGGTCTGAAACCTCTAGATCAGCTGGAACTGTGTTTAAAAATATCATGTAAAAACTTTGAGATTCAGGATAAGACATGGCTGATTGGGCAGGTAGATTAGATAAGATGGGGATAGATAGATAGACAGATGGATAGATGGATAGATGGATAGAAAGACTGTAAAATATCTAGGTGCAGCTAAGAGCTGTTATACAAGCGGAGTTCACTTTGCTACTGAACTCTGCCTGGGAGTTTAAACCTTTACAGACATAAATACCATAAACATTTACAGAAATAAATACCATAAACATTTACAGGGATAAATACCATAAAACTTTACAGACATAAATACCATAAACCTTTACAGACATAAATACCATAAACATTTACAAGGATAAATACCATAAACCTTCCTTTACAGACATAAATACCATACAGACATAAATACCATAAACATTTACAGACATAAATACCATAACATTTGCAGACATAAATACCATAAACCTTTACAGACATAAATACCATAAACTTTTACAGACATAAATACCATAAACATTTACAGACATGAATACCATAAACCCTTACAGACATAAATACCATAAATCTTTACAGACATAAATACCATAAATATTTACAGACATAAATACCATAAATATTTACAGACATAAATACCATAAACCTTTACAGACATGAATAGCATAAACCTTTACAGACATAAATAGCATAAACCTTTACAGACATAAATAGCATAAACCTTTACTGACACGAATACCAATAACCTTTACAGAAAAAAAAAACTACAATAAACCTCTACAGACATAAATACCATAAATTTTTACAGATATAAATACCATATACCGTTACAGACATAAATACCATAAACCTTTACAGATATAAATACCATATACCTTTACGGACATAAATACCATAAACCTTTACAGACACCATAGACATAGAAAAAAATATTGCAAGTTGGGTGTATGAGGGTGCGGCAGTTTTTTATTACTTTTCTTCTTCAGACAAATACCTTATTCCTATCATAATTTGAGTTTAGTTCATTACAATGTTTTTTAATTAAACGTAAGATGTAAAGTTTATGTCTTAAAATATTCATTTATAGAAGCGAGTTGTTTATTAACTAACTTCAATCTCCATGTTGTAAAACTGTATCTCATCTCCAGGTGGTATATCTATATCTCAATATCTCCAGGTTGTATAACTGTACCTCAATATCTCCAGGTTGTATGTATGTACCTCAATATCTCCAGGTTGTATAACTGTATCTCAATATCTTCAGGTTGTGTATCTCAATATCTCCATGTTATATATATGTCGTTTTCTCAATATCTCCAAGATGTATATCTCTATCTCAATATCTCCAGGTCGTAGATCTGTATCTCAATATCTCCAGGTTGTATATCTGTATCTCAGCATCTCCAGGTTGTATATCTGTATCTCAATTTCCCCAGGTTGTAAATCTGTATCTCAATATCTCCAGGTTGTATATCTGTATCTCAATATCTCCAGGTTGTATATCTGTATCTCAATATCTCCAGGTTGTATATCTGCATCTAAATATCCCCAGGTTGTATAACTGTATCTCAATATCTCTAAGATGTATGTTGGTATCTCCATATCTCCAAGTGTATATCTGTATGTCAATATCTCCAAGATGTATATTGGTATCTCAATATCTCTAGGTTGTATACATATCTGTGTCTCAATATCTCCAGGTTGTATATCTGTATCTCAATATCTCCAGGTTGTACATCTGTATCTCAATATCTCCAGGTTGTGAACTGCTACAGCTCTAGGCTCAGTAATTACTATAAATTGCATGACTGCATGAGGCCTAAGGCCTACCCAGTCACCCTAATCCAGGCAGTTCAAACTATTCTAGGCAGTCAGCACCAAGTGCTATAAATAAAATATTTCAGCTTTAGATTTCTGTGTACTAAGCCATAAATCTGAAGAAAACCAGGATTGTCCGAGGGTAGGGAAAGAAAATGATAAATCGCCCGAATTTTTGATTTTCTTTTTTCTTTCTAACCTGATCTCTCAGAACTTCAAAATATGAATTTTGTTGGATCATAGGTCAAAGTTTGAAAGATCAAAGAAATAACCATCAAGTTGCAAAAACATAGGAATTCGAAAGTTAAAGTTTGAGTGTGCAGTTGTTCCTAAAATTGGGTTTAGCTATGAGGGGTCGAAACCGTAAATAATATGTCCAATTACCTTGATTTTATTCTTAGTTGGCAAAATATTCAGCCCTAGATGTAACAGAACGACAGCGGAATATAACAATTTTCTTGATCGGTCGTAATATAACTATAATTGATTTTTTAAAACATTGCAGTACTTTCTCTTTTGATTTAGTTAGATATTTCTCGTTTGAAGTTCAGGACAGATTTATCATTTTAAATTGCGTAGAAAAAACAAATGTCATGTTTCTTTCTTTACCTTAAAAACTCCCTTCAGCTCCTTTATTTTATCTCTTTTCTGTATAAATTCTTCAATTTCCAGATTTCATTTGGTTTTCTGTTCAATCTGTGCTAAATTATCTATTTCCTTTAACTCTGTTGAATTCGGTGAATTTATGGATTTCATGGATTACTTACCTTCACAGAAATACAGTGACAATCAGAAAACAATGGAATAAGGAAAAGACAATATAACATACTTAAAGGTTCAACTAAACACTTACTAAATTACTACTTTAGTAAGTTTGGTCTGTTCTCACTGCAAAATTGTTGTGTCTCATGTTCATTGAAGTTTTTTAGTTATAACTTGATCCTAAAGGTCGTCTTCGTATTTCAGAGTTTTGTTTGTCACAGTAAAGTGTACACTGTACAGTGTACAAAGTTGCCACCAAATGAGGTTAGTTCCGAGACAGCTGTATCACGTGTTGATTTAATGGTTCGGTTCTAAAGCTGGAACTTTCAATTCCATTTTGACAAATTAAACATTGATTCTTCCTGTTTTCTTTTTTAATTATTTTTGTTTGGTGCGTTTTCAGTGAAAAATTAGGAAAACGCATTGAACTCAAATTGATAAAAAAAAAACCCTGTTTAGTTCAGGGTGCTACAAAACTTAACCAGTTTTTTTTACAATCTTGGTCCCTTGAGGAATTGCAGTGGTAAACTTTTTTTAGGGGGGCCAAATTTTAAAGTAAATGCAAAGTAGAAAACAAAGTTTAGCCTTCAAATCTTTATATTTTTGTATACACGTGTACAAACTACATACTACATGCTGCTTAACCCTATGCTGGGGTACTTGAAAACCAGGATATGCTGGGGGGGGGGGTCAATTTGACCTCCCCCCCTCTAAATCCCATGTTTGGTGTCCAAATATGACAAATGATACATTATTGGAAAGCTCTTGTGCTCTACTTTTAGAATCTGCAAAAAAATTGCAAATTTGCAAAAATTGAAATTTTTATCGCAAAATCCAGTTACATAGTAAAAATGTTTGCAAAAAAAATTTGTCCAAAAAATGAAAAATTATACATTTTTGAAAAGCCCTTGACCATGCCATTTCAAATATGCAAAAACTTTTGCAAAATTTTAAATAACCTAATTTTTAATCAAGAAAAACTAAAAATGTGCAAATTTCCTTTGACAGGTTGTTTGCAAAAAGTTTGCAATTTATTTTCGTAAAATTTGTGCAATTTGTTTCCTTATGTCAAAGGCTTTCCAAAAAGCTAAATCTTATCAAAATCTGACAAGTGGAAGTGGGTCAAAACAAAGATTTAGTTTGTTACAGGAAAAAGCAGTCATTCAGGCAGTGTGCCTGAGGACTCAGGCAGTTAGTATTAAAGCCCGGTTTTAGGCCTAAATGGAGGGCTTTGGGTATGTAGGAAAAGTCAGAAAATTTCAACAGCCTCAGACCAATACTTTTTGAGTTATGTAAAAAAAACTACAGGGGGGGGGGGGCAAATTGACCCCCCCCCCAGCAGGAATAGGGTTAATGAGTTACTTTATTTTGTTTAACTTTTTTCAGAGTTATAATTCAACAAAACAAGCCTTTATCTTTACAAAACCATGATGAAAATATAATTTTTGATTTTTACTCAAATACAATACCGCTGAAAGATGGAATTAATGTAACTTGGGTCCCAGAGCATTTCTGTCCTACAGTGCTTCCGTGAGTCCTGCGTCCTATTATATTTCGGACATACTGCAACATCGGACCTACAACAGCTGTAGGTTGGGTGTACATTCTATTTTGTTAATCCTATAAACTACACATGAGCTGCAGATCTTGTCAGTATGTATAGTTAACAGTGTGCTACCACAATTGGATCTCGCTGTTCCCTTTGCACACAAATTTGTAGGTCGGATGCACATACTTCTGTAGGTCGAATGCACACTTTTTGTAGGTCTGATGAACAACTTTTGTAGGTCGGATGCACACATTTTGTAGGTCAGACGCATAGTTTTGTAGGTCGGATGAACACTTTAGAGCGCTGCGGCCACAGTTTTCAAATTGACAAAGTGAAAGCCGATATGTGAGGTTAGGTAAGGAAAAGACAATTTATGGGCTAAGGTTGTTCATCTGACCTACAAATACTAGTGCATCCGACCTACAAAAGTCCTGCAGTAGGTCGGATAAACTAACATTTTTTCAATTGAGTGTGTATCCGACATACAGTTTAACGGTCCAACCACGTGTGGGTACTGTGGTTAAGTCCGAAGTATCGAAGGACGGATGTAACGTTGGGTGCATGTAATACAACCGAAAGATGTCCATAAGAGACGACGACCTTTAAAATTTACTTGATACAACAGTACGAGATTAAATTTTTTAATTATATCTCTTTAGAACTTATGTAATTTATTTAAATAAAAACAAAACCAAAACAATATTAGCAAAAATATACTAGATACAATATTTTCCAAGTCCTCTAAAGATGAGTGAGTCTGGGCCCTTTAAAGCATCAGAACTGTCTCGCTGCTTCTTTATGAACCCACAATATATTGTTCCAAGATTTTTCATTAGTCAGGCTAAAATGTTTAAAGTTATTATGCATTTTTTTTAAACGACAAACGACTTCAAGGAACTTGATATGTAATTTCAAGGAACTGGAAATGTAATTTCAAGGAACTGGACATGTAATTTCAGAAACTGGACATGTAATTTCAAGGAACTGGACATGTAATTACAAGAAACTTGATATGTAATTTCAAGGAACTGGACATGTAATTTCAAGGAACTGGACATGTAATTTCAGAAACTGGACATGTAATTTCAAGGAACTGGACATGTAATTACAAGAAACTTGATATGTAATTTCAAGGAACTAGACATGTAATTTCAAGGAACTGGACATGTAATTTCAAGGAACTGGACACGTAATTTCAAGGAACTGGAAATGTAATTTCAAGAAACTGGACATGTAATTTCAAGAATCTGTACCTGTAAGTTCAAGGAACATGGACATGTTAGTTCAAGTGACCGATCTTTATGAATTGGTATGCTATATTGAAAACGATACCCATAAAATCTTTGTTTGAACAAGGATCAATGAGATAACGTTTTCTCACGAAAAATTGATTTGTGGTTTTTGTGATTAAGTGATTATTTATGCTACGGAAATAATGGAGGAAATTGTTAGAATTCAACACGTTGTGATAGAAAAACGACTTTGCCATATTCTAGGTTTAAAGGTACAGGCACTATTGTACAGGGTGTCCCAATAAACATGGGAATTCAATGACGAATTCGATATCGTCTTTTTAAATAATTCTTTGATTTAGTATAGTGAGACCTACTGAGAAAGCTGTAATCTGTAAGAGTTTCGTCTGCTATGTTGACATTTTGTTTGTTTATGTTTTGACTGCATACGAGTAAAACAAGAAAATTACAGTATACAACCAGTGTAAACTTGTCCGTCTTCACTGTTCATCTTGCGGAGACATTATAGACACATCTTTACAGCCATTTACCGTTTTCATAAAATAAACTCTAGCAGACATAATAATATTATATGGCTTTTGAAATTAGGTATTGCAATGCTAATTCATAACAAAGACGAATTCCCATGTTTTTGGGGACACCCTGTAACTTAAACATTACTGCTAAATTAAGGGTCTCTTGAAACTAGGTGTAAAGTCTCTTTAAGATTCTAAGACTTTGATGACAATAAATAGTTTTCATTTTTTATAAATGCTTTTAGTCTTCACCTAGCTTTGTTTAGATCAAATCCAACAGTATAATATCCAGCACCAAGAAATGCCTACATAAGATTAAGGAATTTTAATTCATATTCTCAACCTTTTTAGAGTTATACACGAACCTTAAGCGTGTATTTAAGTGACCCTCCATGCTAAGATGACAATACCCGATTTACAACGGTACCCTATAATTGTAATCTAATCAAAAAGGGGAAGCTACCGTCGTTTTTCTGACTCGAAAAGTGTTAATTTCTGTGAGTTCTTCCATTGCTTCTTATAAACAAGAAATGTGCATTTCACTTTCGCAGAGAAGCTACAAATTAAAATTAATATTTTAAAGTAACAAAAACATTGATACATAATTTATACTTGATCAGACAAAGCTTTCAAGGGTACCAAAGTAAATCCTGCATCGTCATTTTGCATGGGGGCCGGGTCACTTAAAATTACGCTTACAGTCCCTTTAATTGATACTTTACTGCTCTTTCCTTAAAGCCCTTTAAAGAATAACAATTTTAGATATTTCGCAGGTTTTCCATCTTTGTATTTTTTTGTTTGGAACGTCAAAACAGAACAACACCTTTTAAGATCCAATCGGTTCAGCCGCTTCGACGATTTTTCCACCACCAACAACTTAAGAATCAGCTGACACAACGTTTGTGCCGTCACGTGATTCCGGCCCTTATACTCGACTTGCAGCGTTAGGCCTGATAGTAAAAACCAGACCTTGGTTAGTTTTAATGGAGAATGTTGAGTCTCATTCTAATTAAATCCCGAAATTCGCCAATTCCAACCATGCAGTGAAAATCCATCAAAAACAATATTAAACCCAACCTCCAGTAGGCTTTACTATTCCCCATACCTGGATTAGAACACCTACATCCGGACAGTAACCATCTGTATTGTGGGAGACATGAATCCATTCCATCATTACATATGGTATAAACTTAGACTAGTTTCATACCAGTTAATTTCTTGTTACATATTTAAAGAAACAGAGCTGAAAACTCTAGAATGAGATATCCTTAATCTCAATTACTTAATCTGAGAATCCAACGAACACACTTTTGATTTTTTTCTTAAACCGTTCTTTCTTGGATATAGTAGAGACAAATCAAAAAACCGGTATTTTAAAATCAGAGAGCCCTCCCGTTTCTGTACATTAATCTTAAATGGCGTGTTGTTTGTTTACACTTTTAAGGATACAAGGACAAGATTAGGTTAGTCTCGATATTAAGAAAAAGAGAGGATCAAGCATTAATCTCGATATCCACTATTCTAAAGTTTTTAGCTCTGATTACTCACCTCAAAATATAATTTTTCACTTCTTCAATCTTTTTAACCTGAAGGAAACATTAACTATTTGATCCAGCAAAATTCATTGTTTGAACTGTCAAAATTCAACGACATGAGAGAAACAAGAATAATAAAATTGGAATATATAGGTGAAGTAATCAGATACTATTTTTTTTAACATTGATGATTGAGACCTATAAAACTGTGGGATCGAAAAACGACTTTTAAGCAATCTTATGTACGTGTATTTGATGTTGTTATAAAGCAAATATAGTTGACCGTAGGTTAAAAATCAAATTATTCTGCGAAATTGTTCTGTTTACAGTGTACACGTTCCACAATTCCTGTGTTTCATATTCGGTAAACTATTAATTTGCATTACATCAATACTTTAAAAATTTAAAAGTTTTATAAACATGAACATAATTACCAACTAATGCTTTAAAGCATAATGGTTTGGTATGAAATTCCTTATTCTTTTTTGTCAAATAAGGAATAAGTGCCTGAAAAATAATTGAGTTCATTAATTACATTGGTTTACACTGTATAATGATAACGAGTAGAAATATTGACAAGAATGTATTATTCATAATTATTATAACTGATCAAGATATCTTTATTAAATTTTCAGGGTCGATCCATTTATAAAAAAAAATACTTAACGGTATTTCAAAGCAAACGCAAGAATAAATATATTTTAAGAGGGTTGCAATGATAAAGAGATTCGAATATTTGAGTTTGTTGCCAAGATTAATTTCCTTTAATTGAAGAATATAGAAATGTCTCACCCTGCATTCATGCAAAGTGATTAAATACTAAAGTGGGCCAAACTC